AACCAAGGATGGGAGGACTACTGCAATATACTGAATATAATGGTATTAGCTAAGGTAACAAGGAAATCGCAATCTCAGTAGAATTTTGTTTTGTGTTCCTGACTGGAATTTTGTTTTGTGGTCTAGTCACACAGAGAATGAGGCTCCCTCTACCTCTTGAGCATACTCCCCTCTAGGGCCACAAAAGTCCTCATTCATTCATCAGGCGGCAAATAAGTGAGCACATCTGGGAAGTTTCTATGGGTCTGCTCTTACCCACTTATACATCAAGTTAACCTGCACTCATATTAACTAGCCACGTACTGCATGCACCTAACTGCAAAGGAGGCAGAGAGAGAAGTGGTCTATGACTGGGCCCTGGTAGATAGAGAACCTCATTGGGTAATTATCTAACAATCTCTGCCACCATTTTGTTTTGGAACTAGAGACCACAGGACATGGAGATGGATTAAGTGAAATTTGTGAGAGAAAAGAGGAATCAATAATGAAGCCTCAGACTTCTCACTCGTGATGTTTGGTAACAGTGGTGAAACAGCTAAGAGACAGGCTTGATTCCTCTCCTTCCTTTAGCCCATCTGTTGTACTGAAAGAAGGGACGATGAGTGGAAGGAGATACAGAGCAATTCAAAGACTTAATCAGAGGCATAAGGAACAGTTTATTGGAATGAATGCATCTGGGGGAATACTGGTAAACAAATTTAGAAGGTAAGTCATAGACCTATTGGGGAGCTGTGTATTGTAAGGAGGTGGAGAGAGGGAGAGAGAATATTAAGTATATTGATCATTGTCTCCTTCTTCTTATTCTCTTCTCTTCTTCTTCTTTTTCTTCCTTGTTGTAACTTTCACATCTGTATATCCCTAGACGCCCAACATTCTGAAGTCATCCTTTGCTTTAATATCCATATAAACTCACTTTTTACTCTAAATCAGGACAGATTAAGTTATACTAACAATAATGAACAATCCCAAAATATCAGTGACTTAAAACAATAACGGTCTGTGTTTTATTCATCAGGGATCAGTCAGGGATTCAGGTGATGGAGCAGCCACCACTACAACGTTTCCCTCCATCAGGGGGAAAGAGAGTTCTGGAGGATCAGCAATCAAATGTTCATCTCCGAGATAACGTGTATAAATTCTGTTCACATGTCATTGGCCAGAATAATCACATGATCCCACCAAACCACAGAGGGCCATGGAGTACAATGCTATTGTGCTGCCAGAGGTGGAGAACCAGAAATATTCAGTGGGCACTACTAATGATTATCACACCACATATGTGGGAAGTTCAATGTCAGTTTCAGATCTCTTTCTGATATGCGTTTTCCCATAAACTTGAAAGCACATTATTCTATTTAGTGTCATAATCACTGTTTTAAAGTTTTTTATATAAAGTAATTAAATGTTTCACTTGTCCATAAATTTCCCATTGTTCTATTGGGTTCTCGGAAAAGTCATGACATATTTTTTCTGTTTTTCATTCCAAAAATGCATCATGACTTTTCCGACAACCCAATATATAGGCTCCATCCTGCTCCCTGACCCTGTAAAATTTGCAGCATTCTACTTCATGATTCTTAAGCATTTATTAAGTAAATGAGTGGAATGCCACATATTTAATTTCTTTAAACTTATTCTACGCCATGCATCAAAATTTTTCTTCAATTGTATTAAACTGTGAGCTTTATTTTTTATTTTGCCTTTATTCCCATCCTAGTTCCTATGGAGACCTTACAGTGGGTGGAGCATTCCTGTATTACCATTTCATGGCCTTACTGGCAGTGTTCTTAAAGATGTCCCCTACTGACAAATTTTGGAATTCACTGAGCTCCACTCCTTTCTTTTCTTCTTCTCTTGCATTTTCTTTCTCTTTCCAAGATCACTAAATATACTGAATAAATGATATAATTTATGTTTTCATACTGTGTTCCACAGAGTTGCATTTCCCTACAATGTCTTGTTTTTCAAATCTAGTCTTTAAGGATAATCAGATGTGTGATTTCTTAGAACTTGTTTCTCTTTTCCTCTTTCTCCCATCTGTTCACATCTACCCGACATTTCTTCATATATTCTTCCCTGTCAGCTGAGACTGAGCTTGTAAATCAGACGGAAAAAGACAAAACCCATATGATCTCACTCATATGTGGAATATAAAACAAACAGTAACAAAAAAATTAACAAAGCAAAACAAAAATAAATTCATAGATGCAGACAACAGAATGGTGGTTACCCAACAAAAGGGTGGGTGGGAGAAATTGGGTAAAGGGGGTCAAATACATGATAAGGGATGGAAACTAGACTTTTGGTGGTGGGCATGCAATAGAATATACAGATACCAACATTGTACATCTAAATGTATCTGTTATTAACCAATGTTACCTCAATAAAAAATTAAAATATTTAAAAGAATTTAAAATGCTTTTTCCTGCTGTCCTCTGACAGATGTTTGAAATTTTACTTTAGACTCTCAATTTTTTAGAGAATTTGCATAATAGTGACATCACCAAACCACTGTGCCAGCTTAGGAGATCTTCAGCTTGTTCAGAGCAGTCTTAGTCCAAACCAGATGTGGAGTTCTCCCCACGATGTCTTTAGGTTTCCAGTAGATGGTTAGGCTAATGGGTATTGGAACATTGTGGGAAAGCAGCAGCAACAACAACAAAACAGTCTTGCTGGGTTTTTAGCCAGTGACTGGCTTGTGCAAAAGGAGCCACTGCACACCCCGCCCAACAGATCAGGAGATGGGGGGGCGAGGGGGGCAGTGGCATTCATCCATCAAGGCAGAGCATTTGACTGGTAGAGTTTTCTGAGCCTCTGAAAGGAACTTCTATCAGTGTATCTTCTCTCAACTCCTCAGACACATCCTGAGTCGTGTGTACTAGGGGTTGGGCGGGGGTGCCTACTTACCTTACGCAACTTCCAAGGCAGCACTCACTCTGCTACCTTTCTCCTCTTCTCCCTCTTGTTCTTCCCTGGATTCGCACCCACACTCACTGCATCTTTTCTGTGTAAAAACCTCCTTCTCTTTTCCTCCACAGTAGAATCGAACACCCCCTCAAAACCAGAGCCCACATCATCAGGTACTGTTTTCTAATTACTGGATGATAGGAAGGACAGGATTTCTAAACATTGTACAGAGGTGAGGGGAAATGTTTGTCCTTCGCAGGAGGAGTTGGGCGTGGGGGGCAGAAATCCTCCACCCTGCATTGGGTTAACCCGTCAAAACAATCATTAAATTTTCAGGTTAAAACAATTTGAACATTCATACCCCGCGAGACCTGGAGCTTCATTAAAATGCAAATGAACAAAGAAAGGTATCTGTTGTTATTGGGCTTAAGTACAGATTAATTTCCAACATTTTCCTGAGAGTAATTTTTGATACATGAGAACTAGGAGACATTGGGTACTTTGTAGAGATGCAGAGAGGGCATGGACAGAAACTGACCAGGCAAAGAATGGGGAAAGCTGTGAAGGTTTTGCTGTGTAGCCTTCCACAAGTAAAGTTATATTTACTTCCTAAACCACAAACTTAAAATACTCATACAGTTCCACTTTCCAAAACAATACCATATTTTGTTCTTTCCAACCATTCATTCTGTTCTTAACGACCATAGCTGTCTTCTCCATGGTCATACCACCAAAAGGGGGCTGATTATATCCCCTTTTGTGCCAGACTGGAACTTTCTGTCAGTGGACTGGGATACAATTCTCTCATATCTCATTTGCCTTGGCCCCAAATAGACATTTTGAACCCTACTAATTTTATGCATACCTTAGTAAGCATTCAGTAAGTTCTGTACCCTCAGTCTATATCTGTACAACTGCCCTCTCGAGGAGAGGTAAGCCCAAGACAAGCCTTAGATATTCAAGGCAACGATGCCTAAGAGATCCAGGGCTAATTTCAGACCAGAGCGTGTCCAGAAAGTTGGCCTTTTTACAGGATTCCAGTATCACTGGAGGAACTAAGAAAGTATGAAAGAAATGAAAATAATGGGGGCAAATGGGAAGTAGTTTGGCAGCAAGAGACGAGACACTAAGTAGAAAAGAATGATCTTCAAGAAAGCGGCAAAAGCTGAAAGAACTTGGCTGTCAATCAACAGGAAATGCTGCTAGCATAAGAGCAGTGGGGATATCTCTAGACGTGTTACCGAAAGACCCTACACAAAAGGAAAGGACAGTTTGAGATATTTTAAGACATGGTGAATTTACTATGATTACTACCTGTTATTTTGATCATCTTCAAAGTTAGAATGGTTTGGGGATAATGCTAGGACCATATCCTTATTAACTCTATGGCTATGTACCCATCTGCCTTTCTCCCAAAGCTTCAAGGGTTTGTGGCCTGGAGAAATTTGTGTTAGACTAGCTGCTGGAATGTTCTAAAGCTCTGAAACTCAATTACTTTTTTGGAAGGTGATATATTTACCTGCTGACCCCAATAAACTAAGAACAGCAACAAACCCCTGCCCAGGACAAACACAGATAGGGAGTAAAGAAATCCATCATCACTGGAAATGATTTAGGATTTGCCAAACTGTATACGCTTTTTGTTTTAAATTTTCTATACAAGCCTGGCAATGTTTAGGGAAAACTAAAGTAACGTTACCAAGGTCAAGATTAGTGCTTAACTCTAAACCTCATACTCTATAATTGACTTACTACAAATTAGACATTCAAGGTTTTTCTTAAAATTCCTACAGAAGTTTTTTGTTGTTTGGGTTTTTGTAATCACTGCTGAATCTACCCCAAGTTACACAAACTTCCTAATAGAAAAGTGTCTGTGATGGACAGAATTAATGAACCCCTTCCCAAGTAAGTAAATTATAGAATGTAGATGATCATTGTATATCCTTAGTTGCGGTTGCCAATGCAAATGAGTCAGGGTTTGCTTCAGACACTGAGTTAATTGTGTAACTCTACAGTGGGAAATGCCATTGGAGAGTACTTGCTGACCTCACAGTTGAAAAAACCATTTAAAAGATGTGGAAACCAGATGTTTCAGTCACATTTCGGTCTCTGCTCTGAGAATTTATCCTGAGCAGCCCCTAGTAGGTTATTACTTCTTTACAACTGAGACATGATCATTTTAATATATCTATTTGTCTTGCTGTGGGAAGAGGCTCACGGATGGGGATACAAGAACGGAATTTTTCATAACTCCATATGGCTTGGTAAGAAACTTTTCTCATTGAACTTGGGAATGTCACTTCTTTGAATTCACAGAGAGGTGAATCAAAGCAGTAAATTGTTCTGTTCTGTTCAAGCCTGATATTTTAGGAAAGATAGCTAATGGAATGCATATATCATTTTTTTAAAAAGTGTTCCCGCCTTCTAAAATTTCAAAACAGCGTTTCATAAAGTAAACTGTTCAGTAGAAAGTGGTTAATATTTATATTCCATAAGAAAACATATTTAAAAATTTTTAAAGCAGATGAGGTGGTGTAGTGGGGAATGTTTCTTTAACAAAAACACCAATGTATTATTTTGTTTTTATATCAATGCATTTGCAGTCGATTTCATAGCAGGTAACAAAATAACAGGTAAGTTGGAAAAATCAATAATTTTGTAATTATGTTTCGTGTATTCTGACCTATAATGTGTATCTTGCTTTTTTCCAAATATCTTTTGATTAGTTTGACAAAGCTAGCTTGTAACACAGAAAAAAATGTTTAAATCTTGTACTTCTGAATGCATCCTTACCACTTTGATTTCTTTTGTTCAAGCTATCCATATCAATACTTGTCTACCCCTTTTGTTACACAAGAAAAGATTCTTTTGTTGTTTTGTTTTGTTCAATGTGAAAAACAGCATGGGCCTCACTGTGAATATAAACAAGAAACAAAAAAAGCCAAATTCTGAATACCTAAAATACCCTTTATAGCTCTCTAAACAATGCTTTAATTTTCATGATAACAATTAATATTGCTTTATGTTCATTATTGTGCTTGATAGTGAAATTTTTTTGAATTTCTCAAGAAGAAAATTGAGGGATTCTTGTGTAAAATAAAGAAATAAAGAGAAAGCAAAATTAACCTACATCCTGGTTTTATGCTTGCTAAGCAGCACACAGTTGTAGAATATTTCCCTTTCAGCATGTTTCTCTCTGGTAATAACTGTAGCCATGCGGATTTCATTAAAAGCTCGATTTCCAATGCTGCCTCTTTTTTCAGCTTGAGCCAGTGAACTAGTTTCATGCTGAACAGTGAGATCCATTTGGCCACAATGAGGCCTGGGATTTACTAGGGGAATGAACAGGTCTCTGTTTATTTTCACTGTACACCGTCAAACTTAGGAAATACATATTTGTTAAAAATGAAAGAGATTGTCACGCAGCTAGTAAGAATTAAACCCATACGAATGAACTTTGAAATGCTGCAAAACTCTCTAATGATCAAATGATTTGGAGTTGTTATTGTTTAAAGTGATGTAGTATATTACAATAATATAAACCTGGACAAGTTCCCTCCTAGACGTAGAGAGGGGCAAACCCAAATGTTTGTTAATAGTATGCTTCAAATCTGAGGCTCGGGGTAATTGCACATTGCTTCAATCTGGAACAAATTATTGACCAGTCAGCCTGGCACAAATTATTTACAGTTGGTTAGGTCAATACAGTATAAGAAACTATTTAAGGAGAAAAGAGAGTTGGAATAGAAGTCAGGAATCTGCTAGCAATTCTCAAGAACAAGGCACTTTATTTAAACTCTTGGTCTCAGACACACAGTGGTAAAATGAGTAAGTTGAAATGGAGAATGCCTGAGGTTTTTTTTTAACTCTAGTATCATAAGTTGAACTACTGTAGATTAGGGACAGTCTGTACTTGCATTGCCCACTAGTGTCCAAATTGCTTGAGAACAAGACTTGATTCATATCACCTAACAAAGCACCTCATGGTATATGCTCAAAACAACCAAATTGGAAACTAGTAAAAGTTTAGTTAATGAGGCTTTAACCATGTGGAGGGCACTTAGGCAGTAGGTGACTTTCTCAGGGGAAAACAACTTTGATGTTCCTTGTGCTTCCTGTCCTATAAGTATCAGATCAAGCAAGGTCCTCATGAGGGACCTTTACCATATAGTGTATGGGAGGAGGATCATGTGGAGTCCAGAAAAACAGAGACAATGCCAAGCAGCGTTTCCCATTGAACTGTGGCAGTATCGACTTCAGCTTGGGGAAGGCAGCAGGGAACCATATGTCTCATACTGCTGGATTCAGGTCTCTGCATGCCAAGGAATGTGTGTTCTCATTGGAAATGGTCTTGATGGTGGCCAATTGCACAGGTCAGGGTATAAGGGCTGAGCCGTCATCTGACAGTCTCCATAGAACTATTAGAACTATGCTATGATTATTGTCCTGAGAATCGTCTCACATTGTTTCCATAGCAAAATGCACTCCAAACTCAAAACAGTCCATTTAAACACTGGTCTACTGGGAGACAACTCATGTATGATTTAACACTGCCTAAAATATTTTGGGGGAAAAAAGTGAACTAAAAAAGACAAAACAGATACAAAACTTAGGAACTGGTAGTTAGGTGTGCCCAGGTTTTGATCTGCTATGTTTGAATCTAGTTTTTGTTTCTTTAATGCAATGTTTGTTTGCTTTGGATTCCTGCAAACTTTTCCTTAGTTTTTAATTTGTTTACTAAATTCTCAATTATGTTGCGTTAGTCACCTTCCTCAAATGGATATTTTGGCTTATTTTTCTCCATCATTCTGAGCCTACATAATGGATCAATTTTCATAGGTTTCTTTTGCCTTCACTTCCTTTTCCCCCCATTAGTGACTTTTCCAAATATTTAGCTTCAGGCTCCTGTCTGTGCCCCCAGATTCCTCAAAAATCCCCTCATTCATATTTTTTTCCCTAAAGCTTTCTAATAATGAAAATTTAGCTACCCAAGGCAGCTGGCCCAGGAAACCCTTTGGCAGGAACAGTAGCTGATGTAATCTTCCAGCTGAGGCCACATCATTCCCCTTGTTCCATAAGAATGAATAATAGCGCATTTACGACATTTTGTGAATTCACAGAACAAGCAGCAGGCGTATACCACAGAGAAGCGCGGTCTGGCAAGTACAAGCTCACCTACGCAGAGGCAAAGGCGGTGTGTGAATATGAAGGTGGCAGACTCGCCACCTACAAGCAGCTAGAGGCAGCCAGAAAAATCGGTAATGGATTTGACAATGACTTTCCTTCTTTCTCACCCTTGAGAAAAAATATTTCACCTTTCCTGTAACCCCTTAATAAAAGACTTCTCTTTCCATCCCTGCTAATAGCTCTCTAGGCCCCTATGACATCTCGGACTCTGGCTTTGCCCATCTTCTCTGCCTAGGATTAGTGGGAAGTTCCTAGTACTAGCAATTATTTGGGGTCACAACCCGATGTGAGCTAATAAGTAAGCCGAAAGAAATGAAAAAGTATCTTGATATCATTTAAATTCCTCATTAATTTTAATGCCATTGCTATTCATTTTTAATATTATTAAGTCTATTCTTGACTTCTGATTATGGGTTTTCTTAGCTGTTAACTGTTGAGCCTCACAAGAAAATTTACTTGGTAGAAGAAATATTGAACTTAGTGGGCTTTTTGTTTTTGTTTTTGTTTTCAATTTTTTGCGCTTTTTTTTTCCCCTCCCTTTTTTTTTTTTACATTAAGTGTGAAAATGTATTTGTACTTCAGGATCAAAAGCTCTGAGGAAAACGAGGATAGACAAGTTGTAAGATGACAGGAAACAGAAACTGGAAAGATGATGTCAGGAGACCCAGTAGAAAACCCAGTCATTACTGGAAACAAATAGTGCTATTTTTTTCTGTATTTTAAAAAAATGGGCTGCTACCATCTCTCCTGGACTTCCAGGAGAATCCACAAGGCCACCCCCATTTTGAACTCTTCTCCACTGAAGAAACCCCTTTGTTGATAGGAAAATTCCTGGCAAAGCTAATACTATTATTCTACATTGCTCAAGACAAAAATAAAGGTGTTCTCTAAAATGCTGCGAAGTCTCCCCAGATAACTGTTCAGTCTATTCCCACAGGGCTGTGTGTGACAATACCAAGAGCGATGGCTACAAAAGCCAGAGCCATTACTAGCCACCCTGGGCTTCTAGCAAAATTGCTCTTGGATGGCGCTGGCAAATATTTAAGCAGCCTCCAATGTTGAGCAAGCAAAACAGGGCTGAGGCTCTGTTTGAAATTTATGAGTGTTTTTATCCCTCTTCATATTTTTGAAAATATTAACAATATCTTAATGATCCAGGAAGAGAAATTAATTATATTGTAATTTGAAAAGAAACTTTTTCAGGATTGATGGTAATTTCAGAAATTATCTCATTGCACTAGATATAGGTCATTGGTGAAAAGAAGCCAGCTCTGGGCTTGGATTGTTTTCATATCTATGGTATTATGATTTTTAGTTCATCTGCATCTTTTATTTCCAAATAAGAAGCCATTTTCTAGTAGAAGTCAGATGTTGTATTTTATGTGTGTTCCAATTTTATTTTATATTTTAAGAGAATAGTTTTTCCCCTTTTATGAGCTGGATTTGGGCAGCTAAGAAACTGGCACTGTTGGAAGAGGCCATCTTTGTTAAGATGACCTTCTTTCTGTGAGCAAGTTCAAGCTTATAGCCCTTTCATTCTCTTGCAGGATTTCATGTCTGTGCTGCTGGGTGGATGGCCAAGGGCAGAGTTGGATACCCCATTGTGAAGCCAGGGTCTAACTGCGGATTTGGAAAAACTGGTATTATTGATTACGGAGTCCGTCTCAATAGGAGTGAAAGATGGGATGCCTATTGCTACAACCCACATGGTTTGTTACAAATAATAATTTTATACTTTGCAAAAACAGTTACATGTTACTAAGAGGTTGTTAAAAAGAAACAGCTTCTTCCAGAGATAAATCAATTTAGTGAAGATAATTATTAATGAGTACCATTCATAGAGTGATAATGATGTGCCAGACACTGACTTATGTTCCTTCATCTATACCGTCACTCAATATTCACAACTCTGCGAGGAGTTATTGTTACACGCATTTTAGAAATCAGGAAACTGAATGTTTAAGAGCTTAAGTAACTTCACCAAATTAGACAGGCAATAATTGCTAGGCAGGTAGGATGGTGAATTCAGGCCTTTTCTGTGCCAGGGAACTTCCTGACCACAAAGGGAAAAAAAGCAGGTTATGAACTTGTCACAGTTAATTAGCTAAGACAATAAAGCGATACTACCAAATGTTAACTGTTCAAAATTAACCCTTTGATAGAATAGGGAAAAAGAGAGAGAATAAACAAATTCCCTAATTTATGTTTGTACATAAATTCTTAAGCTTCCAAACTTAGCAGCTCTCTCTGAGGTTTTTTTTTTTAACAATTATATATGGGATATGCTACTTATTATTATATAGTATAATTTTATTCATATTCTTTTTTTAAGATTTTTATTGGGGAATTGGGAGAGGGGAAAGCTTTGGAGAATCAGGGAAGGAGAACAGACAAGTTGCTGTCCTTTGGTTCTTCAGTCTAGTTGTAGAGGACGTCACTTCACTGGCCCATGTTGGTATTATCATTGCGCTCTTCCTGGGTAAGGCAGATTGGTTGCCCGCCCCTGGATGGCCACTCACGGCAGCTCTTAGCAGCTCTGGCCAGCTGCTGGCCGCTCACGATAGCTTATGGCAGCTCACTGCAACAGGGGCTCTAGCCTACGCTGTCGCCGGCAACTCACAGCAACTCAGCTCCAGGTCGAGCTGCTGTTCACCATCTTAGCTGTAGAGGGCATAGCATCACTGGCCCTAATGTGAGATCCAAACCAGGGCCCTGCTGCTCAGAGCTGGTGTCCCAAGCCAACTCTTAACCAACGCACCACTCAGCCGGCCCTATTCATATTCTTTTTTCATGGTTGATAGCAGATAGGAAAACTTTAAAGAGAAAACTAACTCATTATGATTATTATAAAGCGTTATTCTTTGTTCATGTTCTTGGAGGAAAAAAATAGACTTCTTTTCTGATGTAATTCCTCCAGGATAATATTACAAAGTGTTACAATGTGTTACAAAGTCTTTCTCACATTTATGATCATAAACATCCCCAGGTGGTGTCCCATTCGGATCTACCATAGAAGAAAGTCCGTAACACAGGAGGAGAGTTATAATGAAGATCTAGCACATTCTTATAGAATTTATTATTTAATGATATTAACCACTGGAGAACAGTTTCTCATGCTTTTAACTAACCAATATAACCTCTCATAATATACATTCCAAAATGTGTATTTTAAGTAGAAAAGAATTTTGCCTAGAGCTATCACCTAGTCCCACTTGAGACAAAATATGAATAAATACATACAATGCATTTATATAGGACTGTAACTTCCAAATCACTTTGACATACTTTAAATCTGTCCAGTACTATAATATATATTTAGTCCTATACTTAGTCATTGTTAATAATTCATATATCTTTTTTTTTCCTCCATCTTTTTCTTCCTCTCTTCCTTATTCTTGAATGTATTTATACAGGCAACTCTCTTTTAATCAAGAGTAACTTTTATTTTCAAATATATTCTCTGATTCTTCTTTTGTTTGATGAA